CCGAAGTCGCCTGATTGACTCCGAAAATGACCGATAGTCGGAGATAAACGTTCATTTGCGTAAATCGGCTTATTTTTTTAATGCAACGAAATAAACAGTCAAAATAAACATTCGTCATCGCGGCAACTATTATAGTTCAAAGGAAACGAAGTGGTTGTTCTTCCTGGGGTTTATAGTTCCATGGTTATATCCATGAATCGTTTACTGCCAATGCATGTATTAACACCTACAACAGGAGTTCTCATTCATAATACTGTGTCTGAATTTGACTTTGGTATTTTCATATTTAAACTATCATCATAAAGAATTAGTGCATATTGTTGTAAATCAGTTCAGGTGAGGGCCACTGTGTCCCGCAACTATAATTTGTTTTTAGAGTTTCACAGTACTTGATGATTTACCTGCAAAATGTTTTACATTTACTGCCAAAAGTGTTATTATCTGTATTGTGTGCACTTTGATTTTGTCTTTTATTTTCTATTGGAATGGAAATCATAAAATTCTATTTCCTCCATATTTGATCTGTCTAATTAAATGAGCCTTGTATGACTGTGCATTATTAGTTTCTTATGATTACACTGTGTGTGTACAAGTGTGAGAACAACAACAATTTGAGGAGAATACACGCAAAAATGTATTTGATTTTATACTCTTAATGTCTGACAGAGGTTAAGTGCTACCGTAATTCACAGTCCCTCTATGGAGGGACTATGTGTAATTATAGTACATTGTATTTTTTATGACTTTGGAACACCTGGTTGTTAACTTTTAATTGGTACTTTTTTTCAGTCCTATATATAAAAGAAAGTTTCACAATGACTGGGTGCTAAATGTGAGTATTTTATGAAATAAATTATGGACATTTAATTACTTCTTTTACTTTAATAGTGTGAATGATTTCCATAACGCATAAGATATTAACTGGCTTTATACTATAGTAATGCACATACCATATTGCTTTGATTAAACTGACATACCAGTGGTTAGTTATGATGAATTCATGTACTGCTTTTAAGTGAAATATGGTATCATATTTTGTCAGGGTGGAGTGAGATAAAATATCTCAGAGATTATTATCTATTACCGGGTACCATAGCTGGAGTCAGCCAGTCTATGATTTGGTATCTGGATGTTAGGTATACACTCGGTTACTAGAAGACTGTTACTAGTAACCATGGTATACAGCAGTTAACTACATTGTATCTATAATTCTCATTGATAGGTTAAATACTTTCCTGAATTGAGGTGCTTTGCTTCTTGTTCACCAAGTACAACTGTTTCATTTGTCCTTGAAGATGTACAAAGAATAAATGATAATCAGTAAGTATGGATGTCCCATCAATTTCAGATTGTTATATAATTATGGAAAGTATATATTTCCTCATACCGGTAATATACATGCTCTGTGAATGAATAAATCACCGATCACAGACACAGTTTGTTGTTATTGAGCTTCTACAATTCTGTTTTTGCTTGTAGACCAATCAGATCTGTTGGAATAAACAAAGGTGTGAACTGCTTTGCATACTGTGCCAAAGCTAATGTCATAGCAACAGGAGGTGCAGACAAGGTTATCAGAATTTGGCATCCACATATTTTCACTAGACCCACAGGAAAGATGATTGGTCATTTATTTACCATTTCTGATATTGCTGTTAATGAGAAAGATCAACATGTTATCAGTCTTTCAACTGCTAGGGTGAGTTTATTAAGTTTGAAATTTTAAAATATTCCAACAATTTTGAATTATTGCAGAGTAATTGACTCTATTCAGTTGGTCACTTCTGACACTATTAAATTTTTGTTAATAAAAAAAAATTACTCTGTTCGTAGACTTGCATGTACGATTTTGCAGCCATGCATCTTTGTTGCTATGGTTTTGTTGAATTATATATTCTAACTAAAACTGCATTAATATTAATAATTGTTGGTGTATAATACAACATTATATTTTGATTACCTAGGTATTCAGGGTGTGGGACATCCATACACTAACAAGCCTGCAAGTCTTCACAGACAATGAAGAAAGGCCAGGAGAGAAAAGAATACACTGTATGGTGTTTGATGATAAACACGAGAGACTTGTTACAGGTTAGCATTCAAAAACAATGATAATAACAGCAAAGTAAAAAGTGTTAAAATTTGAAGGCCAATAACTAATTTTTCCATCAAAATATTTTGAAGCCAATATTTTTCTTTTTTTTAAATTTCTGTTATTATTATTAAGAAGGAGGGTGTAATTTGATACTGTTGTGGGTAGTCTTGACTATTTACTTTTCAACTTAGGCATAACAGTTTATAGGTTTTGCACATATTGAGGGAACGCAAATGGATAATTTTCTCCACTCTGTGCTAACTTTTGTACATTCAGATATTATGAATTGAACACAGACATTTTGATTACATTGTTTGGAAATATTAACATTATTTCAATAAGAATATGATCACTGCCTTGTGGCAGACTAGCCTTTCACATTGTATCTATTAAAACAAGATTGTTTTATATTGTAAACAACTTTGATTTCTGAGAGACTAATTTTCAAAGTCAGGAAAATGTGCAAACTTTTGTATCAGTGAACATTGCAAAGAAGTTCTTAATAACCATAGTGACTTTGAGAGAGCACACCAAAAAATTAAATGTTTTAAACTTATCCTGTATGTTTTCATTTGAAGGTTCCAGTGTGTTAGATTCTTGGCCGTTAACCAGAGCTGTTCAAGACACTATGCAAGTACCTCATACACATGACAGACCAATCACACATATATTGTATAATAAAGAATTAAACCAGTGTGTCTCACTGTGTTCTGAGTCAATAATAAAGGTAAGCTCATGCAAAATATGGAAATGATTAAAATGCTACAGTACTGTTTCGTAAAGAAAATATATGCTTAGGAAATATTATTCACACAGTAAAAAATTGATAATCTTTTACATTTATCTCACTCATTTAAGTATAAGTTATTGCTAAAATATTAAACTATATTTCTAGTATTTTATGAAATACCCTTTTAGTTAGTAAATAATATTATGTATTTTTGTGCAGGTATGGGAGATGGAGGCTGGTAGACAGGTATACCAAATAGCTGAAGCTCATGGACCCAATATTGAAGTTACTTCTATTGCCCTTGATAAAACTGGATATAGACTTGCATCTGGTGCTTTAGATGGTAAGAATGAAACATGATATCACAGTTAATCCTGGTTGATGAAGAACACCTGGAAAATAAAAAACAACCACAGAATATTGTATTCATGTTTTAACATTTTATAAAAGCCTCAATAAAAGTTTTAAATTATGGATAAATATGAGAAATGTCAGAGAAAGAAGCAGCTGAAAATATTTCAGACTAGTCTTGTATAGTACTTCTTCAGAATAGAGACCATATAATCATAATGTAAATCTATTTTTTTTGCAGCTTAAAACAATTTCTTGTCTCTTTTAATATTATATTATTTCTCCAGTGCTCAGCTGAACTAGAATATTTTTCATTTGAAATGAATTAATTTTACAGGCTCATTAAAGATATGGGACTTTGGCAGTGGTCAGGAAATAAGATTATGGTCTCCACATGATACAGAAAAAGAAGAAGATTTCAGTGTGACATGTCTCTTCTATTGTCTTATTAACAATGAACGACATCTTATAGCTGTTGGATGGAATAATAAACTCAAATTATTTCAGGTCAGTAAACTTGGTTAGAGATATATTGGTATTAAATTTATTTTGATTTCTTTAATTTTGATTCCATGCATTCCCAATAATTTGATATCAATATAAGCAATGTTTTAATACTGTATTGTCAGAAATTAAATGATAATTAAATTTCAGAATATAATTTAGAATAGCACATTTTATGCTTATTATTTTGACAGTTCTCAAAAAACATATTAACAGTAAATTAATTAAACAGTCCACATACTGTTGGCTGAAACAATTAATTACAGAAAAATTTTGACGTGAAATATTGTCACTCCTGTATGTGTTAAAATATGCACTCATGTAAAAAATTTATGAGTAGCATTTTACCTTTATGTATTGTGGAGTTAATGCATCGTCAACTATTCTTAGGAAATCAGCTAATTAAAATTAAATTATGAGTGCCCAGTTATACACTAATGACAAGTATCACGTTCAATAATTACCGGGGGGGGGGGGGGGGAGGGGGGTAATTTTGTTGGGGGGTGGTGGTGTGAAATTACAATTATATACAACATTGTTAAAGTTGAGTAACTTTATTTCATAGAAAGTCACCAACCACACTGGTCTGTCTACTTACATCTGTCAATAATTTGTTATTATGTTTATTATAAGTTGTTAAATAAACTAATGAACTAATATGCTAATAATGATTTTTACCTTACAGGATCAGAATGAAGGCGACTTAATCTTTGTAGAAGACTTCAATGATCAGTACTTTGTACCTCAGATCACACCGTCAGAGTCTCCTAATGTCTTCACTAAAACATCACCACTGCCACAAATTGGACAAACCTCAGCACAAGTTACTAATATATTTGAAAAGGTGTGTGATTTTATCATGGAAAAGATAAAAAACAGATCTTCTGTCATTTGTACTTTTTAAAGAGACACACAAAAAAAGAGACACCTCCTCCAAAGATGTGATGTGCAGAAAATACATCTATTTTTTTAGATTAATATGTGTACTATTTATGGTAAGATTCACAATTGACTGTGTGAACCCATATTGAAAAAACCAACGTAATGCAACAATTTAACTTGGTATTTTAAGGTCACCTTCGATAAGTCGGGTCTGTTGTTTATAATTTCCTACCGGTATATATTTATTAGTTCAAGAAATCATGGCATATTCATATTTTCAAAAGCTATATATAATGCTAAAATGTATACTACGATAACTGTCTTACCGTTAGATTTTTAATTCAACAAATCCCACTATTTTGAGCATAACAATACACAGTGATCAGGTGGATTATGACTCCATTACCAATGTATGTATTCTAATGCCTCACATAAAGTAGTCCAAATTCTAAACTTTAATTTCTGTTATTCATCAAAATTTATTTATAGGAAAATGTGTTATCAACTTATGATCTCATTTGCCTGGATATCTTACATTCTAAGAATGTTTTTGCAACTGGCTGTAGTAATGGTGATACGATTATATGGAACTATGAAAAAGCTAGTGTCAAACAAGTGTGAGTTCATTTTTTTGTAGTTGATTGCTATTGTTGTAATTAAATATACAAGTATGTGTCCCTGTTAATAAAACAAATTGTTAGCAACTCTGTCACAGCAGATCACGAGCTAGTGCTGATCTGTGAGCATCTTTTGTAAGATGGTTGGTAAAATTTTAAACAAAGGATGTTATAATGCAACAGCCTATAAAGGCCTGCAAATACAATTGTGGAATGCATGCACAAAGCAATACAACCAAAAAATTATGTTATTTAATATTCCATATTCTCTCATATTGTACCCTTTGATTCTTTGTATGTGCATTAGGTTCAAATTACCAGATGATTTGAATGCATCACATAATGGTATCAGAGAAAGTTCCAATGGACATAGAACTAAGATAACTAATGCCAAAAAAGTTAATGCACTAAGATTTCTTGTTCATAAAACAAGACGACCAGATCCAGCTTATATCAAGTAAGTCATTACACATTTGATTCGTGCAGTATAAAAATTAACCTTGATCGTATATATAGAATGATAATTTCATTGTACTGATACAATGTGCTTCAAAGTTGTAAAGATTACGATTGGATAACACCACATTTAGATCTACCACATTATAGAAACAAGCAATAATTGTTTAACCATTGTTGCACCAATACATAGATCATAGTTATTATGAATTATAGACAAATATTCATCACAAAATTGTCTAAATTAATCATCTTCATCATTTATCTCTTGGCAGGAGGCTAACTAAACATGTGGTTCCATCAGATTCAAAAGAAGAAACTACAGATGAAGATGAAAACAAGAACGAGGTAAATAAATTAAATAATGAAACTTGGCATTTTAATGATCTCATGGTGTGGGGGTGGTTTGATGTGCTTAGCGCCCTCTAGTGACAACCATGGAATAATTTGATTGAAATGCACCATATTTTAGAATGCTACTGGTAATTATGCTTTATTCCGTGACTCTAGTCTAGTTGTCTGGGCTTCATACATGCACCAGCTTTTTCACCACCATATTGTCAACCTTTGTCACCTTTCTCAATGTAGTCGCATATGTATCTATTTTGTCACCATGTCAATTAACTTGTGTCTGCTTCTTGATACCGATGACTACTGTAAACTGCAGGAGACAATTTTCGTTTAAATTTTGTGAGTTAGTGAAAATCCTAGAATTGTGTCGGAGTGAAAATGTTTTCTGCTCTTCTACAACATGAAATATCATTGACTTTTGCCAAATTTTGTCTTTAGAAATGCCATAAAATAATCAAATTATGAAAATTGCTAGCAATGAAAATTTCCCAGTTTATATGCTTCTGAATCCTCATAACTAAATGTATGAGCAGTGTTAAATTGTGCTTGGTTACAGCTTTAAAATTTAGAAAAATAACAATTGTTCTAACACATTGGTGGTAAAAAGACTGTATGCTGCATTAATTTTTGCAAATTTTGACAATATGGCAGGTTGAAGAAATTTGTGATTGCAGATGGTCTTAAATCATCAAACTGCAGCGAAAATATAATTATTTATATATAGTAAATAATATTGTAAAATTAAGGTGTGAGTATCAATATTCATCATTGTTTATTTGTTGACACAGACATCACAATCAACTAGTAAACAAATAAGTAGAAGAGAGAGCCACATTGATGAATTAGTGGTACAAGGTGGTGATAATCAAGGTAAACATTTATATTAACATTCTATTGTCTAATATTGACTGTCGTTAACAATTTAATGTCACATGAGATTCTCATTCAGAAAGAAGGTATACAAATATAATAATGTCTTCTTTTTATCGTAATGATATTGTAATGACTACCATGAAATGCAAATTTTTTTTCATTCTTTGATGTGTGAAAATGCGAGTACTGTATTTGGACATCCATTGAAAGATAATGTGTATGAAATGCTTTGTTTCACATTTCAATTTACACTTACAAACTGGCTCTAAATGTTTGTCTTGTCTTGGAAAGTGTGTGAAATAGGATTCAGAACCATGTGCCTACCCTTATTTCTTAAATTCAGTAACACACATGCTATCCTTCATTTCCGCCGAGTCACCCCTGGGGATATAAATTCAATACTAATAACTAAATATTTTACAGTATATATATATATATACAGGGTATGAGAATATTCTTCAAAAAATGAAAATCATATCATATCAATGCATGTACTAATAATACATATGACTATATTTGAGTATATTTATAAATGTAAATGCACTGTAAATGCACTAATTATTCACTGGGTTTTAATTTTGCAATTTTTGTTGATAAATAAAATCCGCTAAATCACAGTCTCTCTGTGGCTAAATTAAATTCACATGAACATGTAAAATTGTTCCCTTGGCAAATTTGTCAACTCAAAACTCAGTGAATGTGCTCAACATACCAAAATAGTGAAAATAATTGCCAGTGAAAACGAATGGTTTTACAGTACAATGAACATTTTAAACCATGCATGAACTTTGTATCAACTGTCACAAAAATGTTTGAATGTTTTTAAAATTGCAGAGACTGATAAAAATATGGATGTTGATGGTGAAAATAAAAGTGGTACTGATAGTGTAGAGGGGATGATAAAAGAGAATGAGACAGGTGATAATGATGATGATGATGATGATGATGATGATGATGATGATGAAGACAATATTGATCCACAAGCTACTATGATAGTATCCGAATATGATCCTATTTTAGTCACATGCCATGCAGATTCTTACATTAGATACTGGACTTTACAGGTTTGTTCAATTTGTGTTATTTTCGTGATTGAACTTACATATCAAATATGGTTGATGTTAAAGATGCGATATGGACAAAAAATATATATAATATAATATTGTTATTCAATACTCCTTACTGTAGACCAAATTAAATTATGATTTATCCTAAACTAATGTTGTGTTTGCAGAATTCAATAATCACTAGAAAAAAAATCAAAACCACTATGAAATATGAATGTGCAGAGATTGTTATTGTCTGTAACTAGGCAACAAATGCACATGTATATTTAAGTATTTCATTGTTCCATCAAACAAAAACTCAGATATATTCATCAATATACAGTATCAAAAATCTATTAGTATGTGACCTCTCAAATTGTAAACTACTGTAAAATACTTCATTTTTGCTATTTTCACTGAAGGTATGTTCTATATCATATCAATAATATATCAATAATAGTTGATCTGTTGATTATTGTAGGGTAAGATGTTATGCCAAGTTAGTGCAATGACAAGACGTCAAGGATCTGCTGTAACAGCTGTGTGTTCGGATGAAGATTGTCATGTGTTAGTAACCGGCGATAATAGTGAGTACATTGTGATATTTAATAATACCGGTAACTATCATGATGGTAGTTTTATAGGAAATGACTTTACTAATTAGAAACATGATGTAAATCAACTTTGGGGGGGATCATTTGTCTTTGTCAAATCAATCCATTTATTCATTCATCATTGTTTGAAATTGTATATTTTTATTTTCTATATTTTAAATATACATTAATTAGGCAAAAAATACATAAGCTTTTGCAGTTCAATTTTTAAGTATGCACTGAGATATGAAGTGTGAACATAGGTGACTCCATCCATTTTTTATTTTGTGTTGGATATATACAGGTTTAGTTTTTCTCCATAAAACCAGATTGTTTGTCTTTAAACGAGACAGAAATTCATAGATCTTAAAAATATTTCTAAGGTCTGTGTCTAAATAATTAAAAAAAAAACGTTAATGAATATGTAATGTAAAATGACGTATTAATTTTAAAGATTAATTAACCTTGTTTTTTACAGGGGGTTATATCACCATGTGGGAGGTTGGACAGTTTTTGGAAGACCCAAAAGCAGGAAAAAAGGTAAGTATCTATCTCCCATTATGTTTGCACTTTATGCTGTTATATGATGTAAATTCTTTTGTTTTAGCTGTCTTTTTAGCTCCGCTGTTGACTTTGTCGAGCGGAGCTTATAATATGAGTGATTGTGAGTCTTAGTCCATTGTCGTCCGTGTCAATGTTTTACTTTTTCGACTTCTTCTTGAAAACTACAAGCCTGAATGCTTTGATACTTGGTGTATATGTATCTTGGGTAGACCTCTCTTAGATTTCTTCATTTCATGATGATATCTTCAATTCTCTAATTTTGGTGAATATTTTTGTCATTTTTGGTAAAAAGTGATATTTTTAACTTCTTGTTAAAAACTGCAAATCCAATTGCTTTGATATTACATATATAGGTACTACATGTGGACCTCTCTCAGATTTGTTCATTTTGTAATGATATCTTTAATTCTCTAATTTCCGTGAATATTTTTGTCATTTTTGGTAAAAAGTGATATTTTCGACTTTTTGTTGAAAACCGCAAGTCCAATTGCTTTGATACATAGGTACTACATATATAGGTACTATAAGTGGTTCTAACTCAGATTTGTTCATTTCATGATGATATCTTCAATTCTCTAATTTTGATGAATATTTTTGTAATTTTTGGTAAAAAGTGATATTTTCCACTTCTTGTTGAAAACCGCAAGTCTGATTGTTTTGATACTATACATTTTGTTCATTTTCTAATGATATCTTCTGTTCTTTAATTGAAATGTGCATTGCTAACAGCGGAGCTATCTCAGCCGAGAGGCTGCTTGTTAAAGAATATAACAAATTTCTCTAATAGGAACAAATTAAGCAGGTTCTTAGCTGGAGAGGACATTCAACAAGAGTTGTTACACTTATATATATAGATAATATGAAAGCTATATTGTCAGCATCAACTGATGGATCTGTAAGGTGAGTGTACACACTCCTCATGTTCCTAAAGTTCCATCAAAATGGAGAGTGAAGCATTGTGGATAATTGCTTAAATTATGCTGCTCTCTGGTAGGTTGGTATAGCACTACATTTGTTTTTTTAGCTAAAGACCCTATAGGACTAATTTGTTGAGTTTACCCAAACATTATTTGTACATATTCTGGTAACACTATGTGTAAACATACTTTGTGAATTCCAAGAATATTTGTAACGATATGATTTGTGAATATTTTTAATTACATTAAACCATGTTTAATCAATAATCTCAAAAACAGGATTATATTAATAAATTTCCATGAATTCAAATATATAGGTTGCTCCAAACAAATTAAGTCACTCTTCTGTATAGAAAAATGTGTGTCTTTGGGTGGTGGTTATCAAATTTTGTAAACTAAACAATATATTTTTCATTTTATACATTGCATGGGAACCATATCTACCTTGATGCATTGTGATGACCACAACCACGATGTATTCATAAGTTTTCCATATTTTGAAAGCAATTTTGATCAATTCCTGTAGCTAGTGGGATATACGCCTATTTAATTGTTCCAAACAAATTATTTTTCAATATACAGAATGTGGTATGCTGCTGCCATGGCCAGAGGTCACTTTATGGGTTTCTTTGGGCAGCATAGAGCATGGAATTATCCTAATACAGAGAGGGTTAGTACACCTGTTCTTCCCTATGATATCAGTGAAAGACCGATGAAACCCATCAAAAGTATGAGTGCGAGACAGAAAGCCAAACGAGCACAAAGTTATGAATATCCACTGATATTTAAAGAATCAAAGTAAGTTTGTCTGGTTTGCCAATTTTACTAATTTCTTAGTTTAGAGGATATTTTTTTTTTATTGGTTGGTGTGTATTAATTACCTAATTTGCATAATTAAGACAAATTAGCCACGTCAACAACAATTTATTTGTGTATAAAGGCAGTTGTTTGACTAAATTGGCAATTTCCATTATTTTTTGCAAATTTTGGCCTATATCTCAAATTTATGCAGCCCAATTAAGTCCAAACTTGGTTGCAGCACATCAACAAAAATTGATTTGGGTTACAATCCAACTCAAGATGGTCGCCTGGTAGCCATTTTTTTTTTTGACGAAAATCAACAATTGTCATCCTTTCACACATCTTGGCTTATATTTCAAATTCATGCGGTTATACTTGGTGCACAGAGAATTGTATTCAAGTGAATCTTGTTGCATACATGTAGATGCTCTGGGATACATTGCAAACCATTTGCTTTAACAATTTTGATTTTGTGGATCAGATAACTTTTACTTTATACACCAGAGCAGAGCTGTATCAGTTTCAATTTGTAGTTAATTTTCTTTAAGTCTATGCCTCCAATACCCTTAGAACATGGAACTTCTTTTTAAGCTTTCTTTAATTCTTCTTCAGCTGGCAGCCAGTCAGGCGATCTGCATACTTTCAAAAGAGAGTAAAGCCCAAGGAACCTGAAGACAAGAAGTTTTTTGATGCTTTAAGAAAACCTCAGTTTTATAATCACCATCTTGAGTACATGAAAGCTGGTGATGCCGATAGTGGTGCTGTTTTCAGATCACTTCCAGTCTATAGGGTAAGTTCTGATTCATTTCACCAGGCATTTAATATAGGTACATGCAGGCATCACCTAAATTTCTGCCACTGGTATCATATAAATTACATCGCTAAGCATTATGTTATCTGGTTAATTAATTGTCTAGACATTTGATTCAAAAAAAAAAATACTAAGAAAAAAAATAGAATACCAACAGTTGTATTTATACTTGTGATGTTGCAATAATTTTGCAAGATCTTTGTTCAGGTAGTAAACTTCCTTTTGATTTTCCATATCATCATTGAAAAGCAGAGATTAACTTAGAATTATCAAAAATTCCACACCCTGGTAGGGAGAACCCTATCTCCCCCACTTGGTGGCGCCGCTGAATTGCAATGCTTCCTCGTGCATTTTTTTTTTTAGAGAAACCCCTGAAAAGTCACATACATACTTTAATAAGGTGAAAAACATGTTACCGGGTATTCACATGCAGAATAGTCAGTATTGTTACTAAGATCTATTCAATTGTGTTACTATATGTATGTATTTGTTCTGCTTTCAGATAACCACACCAGTGAGATTAAGTACACCTACATTTGATAAATTGACATCTCAAGAAGCACAGGCCTATTTTTTTACTCAACCGAGTAAAATGAAGAGCAATTCTCCAATTAAAGACATTGGCAAGGTACCAGGAATTTAATTGATTTTTAGTTTAAAATGTCATATAATTTAACTGTACGAATAATAAACACCATGTCTAAAAGACACAACAAGTTAAACTCTCATTAATGAAAATAACCTTATTGTAACCGCGTTTTACGATGTCTTGGTATTATCTATGTGAATTTCTCCCTGAGTTACAGTGTATCTTAATTTTTCAGGATCAACAGGGGTATTTGTATACTCCCTCATAAAAAATCTAATTTCCAAATAATGTTTTCATGATGATACCAGTACCTCATGACAGTATAGAGCTTGACCTCTGCATCAATTACTGCTCCCTCCTATATTAACCCTCACAAGTGAAAGTGCAACCCTTCAAAAATAAACAGAACTAGAGCTACTTGTTCTTTGTCTCTGGAGCTGTATTTCATTTCTTGTCTTCTAATCCAACACTTACTGAAATCATGATTCAAATGTGGATACAACTCCAATAAAGTTTCTTTACTTACAAGCGACATTGGGATTACTAACAATTATTATGTTCACTGTTTCTTCCTCATTGATTAATACTGTGCAGCGTCGGACATTGTATCACATGAAGGTACATGTATAGAGGTTCATTTTCCTGCATGCATTCAGTTATCAGCACAGTTTCGTATGCACAAGGCTTGTCTTGTTTCGGAAATTTATCCGTGGCAAATGTTTGACTTGAGCATGCTTGACCTACTGTAAATCGTTTCATTTTAACTGCTAGAAATTTCACGATATTATGGCATTTGTAAAGACAAATTTTGCAAAAATCACATGTGTAGTAGAAATCCAGAGAAATTTTCGCTGCTACGAAATTTTACAATTTTCACTGACTCACAAAATTCTAAAAATGTTATCTCTTGCAAAATTAAAACGGTTTACAGTATATGCAAGTGCAGTGTTAATTGTTTGTTATCCGTAAGAGGGTGTTGTTTTACATAATAAGGTTTTACAACTATAAGATTGCTTGAATATGGCTCTGAGATTTTTTAATGTATCTGCAATTAAAAAAACGTTTGTGACTTCATATCAATTTATTGTAACATGATGATGAGATTTCAGTACTGTATATTATTATACATCTAACACCAATTTGTCATTCTGTAAATTGTCTCTTATATGGAGTCACCAACATAGACACGTTCAAGGTTTATTGACATCACATTTGAACACTTCTTTTTGTTTACATTGAACGCATCGATCACTGTATATGTAAATAGAATTTTGTCACTGAACCCAAACGCAAAACTTGTTTGATTGTCATTTTGATATGATCTCTGTACTGCATTCATGCATTTTGTGTGGTATTCTTGTGAAAGCCTCATAAGATCATGCGCTAGTAATGCATGATTGAAATTTTGTATTTGCTACTTTCTTTAAAGAAATAATATAATACTGCATGAAACTTGAAACATAATTTCACTATTTGGAGATTTATAATACTTTAAATGCTAAAAGGTACAAAACTTGAATGTGGAAAACTTGTATAAATGTCTTTTTCTCTTTGTATTTTTCATTAGCAACAAAGTAGAAGAAAGTTACAGAGATTAGCTACAACTAATACCACAACAAGTAGCAGTTCTTGGTCTTCTCTACCATCACCTAGAAAAAGATGATACTGTATTCAACCATTCTGCTTAAAATGAAGTGTTGACAGATGCATTAAACTGTATCTATTTATCTGATGTATTATCACAAGACGTGTTAGAGTGCTCCGATCAAAACAAATTTATGCAAATGAATTTACTTTAACACATCGTTAAAAGCCTCCATGAATAGCCAAGAGTCAAGCAGGTGATGTGCTGAATAAGTTTGTGGATGAAAGTGAAAAGTTTATAAAAAGTGTACAGCATTGTTACAAGCGTATATATATATATATAATTGAGATATGTAATGCAGAAATGAAGAAAATATACATCATTATTTCCATTATTACAAAAATAGTAATTTCAGTTAAAGAGAGGGAGTCATCACCTGCGCATGTGTCAGATAGCCATAGCGTGTCATTGTTAACAAACACGCGTGACTCTTGACCCTTTGCGTTTTTAGCATGTATTATTATCGTCGCCTTGGACTGTGTATGCAGGTGACGACCCTCTCGCTTTAAAGATACAGTATTGTGGACAATTTAGTTAAAAATTTCCAAAATTCTATACCATGGTCCAAGTGACCATCATATATGGTAGACAATATTTGGCAATCATTGTCTTAAATAACTACAGTATTCAAAATGAGTAAACGACATGTACTGTGTGTACGCGACCCTGGTTCTTTTTCAATATCACATAAAATGTTTAATAGACCATTTTCCATTCATGAAATCGAACATAAAAACAGAACAAACAAAGGTTATAGCGTCGTATTGGCGTCAAACATTGCGTGGGATTCGACAAACGCGAAAGTATTTTGGAAGACAATTCTATGCTAAATAATGTGCTGTCCACATTTGATGATTAACAATTTTGCCTAATCGAGGGTATTCGGAAGCAATATTCATTCATCTGTCGAAGATCGGCCGGTCGATGGGAGCTACGAAATAAAGAAATTCTAGTTCAAAATCAAATCGTTCGATTTTTGTGGCAGACATTCAACACGCGTCTTTCATGCATCTCGCGAGATCTCGCAATTGTATGGGAAATCACCTATTGACCTTATTGTCATTAATTGTATTATATTTGTACAGCTATTTTTATATGATTTTTTTCTGTTTTATGTAAATACTATTAGTGTTTAATATGCTGTTAATAGTGTGTATAAATAGAAACCACATATATTCGTATTTGAAAATAGCTTCAGGTGCTGAAATTATGAGTATTGGTCAAAATATTATGTTTCTTTAATTTGATAAATTCATTAATAAAGTGGAAAAATATTTTAATCTTAACTTGTTTCCGAGGTGCCATGTTATTTTTGGTTTGCCAAATATCATTATATGTCCTTCATTCCAAAGTCTACAGTGAATCCAATTGCATGTGTCACTTAGGACTTAATTACAGACATGAGACTTGTTTTTAGTCTGAAACTACAGAGTCGACATTTGTATATCATGTATCGGTAATGCCATTTTAAATTTGCTGACGAATATAAATGCATAAACAAAATGAAACTTTTCTTATCAATATATAATAACGTTACATATATGTGTCACCAGGGATTCATACGTATATGCATCATTCCAAGACAGTTAGCCCCTCTTAAATCATTTGCAAATTTTACATAAAACTGAAATTCCAAGGCTTAACATTATACCAGCATATAACTTATTTGAGTTCCTTGCATGTTTATATTGGATTCTAGCTGATTTTGTGCTTTATAGTTTGAGATATTTTAAAAATAAAAAGTTTAGTCAAAGACTTTCCAGGTTTCTTATACACATCCATTTGTTTTCACTTCGTGCACATCAACAGTCTTATTGTGTAAATTAATCTCTAGGTGGCGCTGTTCATTAAGTTGTGAAATTCATTTGCATTGCAAATTTATTTCCGTGTAAACGTTGCCTTGTGTATGATTGAATACGTCTGTATTGCTGGTATGTGCGGTGTATTTTTATAATGCAGACACTGCATTTGTACACAGAAATTGTGGCTGGAAGTAGGTAATGGTATAGGCTGAAGAAGCATACATAAAATGAGATCAACATACAAATTCGCATCATGTAAATTACAAAGACTTTGATTTATTTTAGAAAAAAGTAATAAAATGTTATTAATTTACATAAAAAAGTTCTATTCTGTAGAGTATTTCACCTCAAAACGTGACGGTCAGATCAGCTTTGGCAGGTGACAATGGTGGTCATGATATTGGTTATTATGATTTACATTGAGAATGATTGTAGCTATTATCTTTGCATGCTATTATTAATTGGGTGTTTTATTATCAGGTGGGTTTAACCATGCACTTGCCAACACACCTTCCAAATTGATACGTTTATCGGGATCGATTGTTAACATTGCTTCTATAAGTTTTCTACACTCTGGGGTAATCCTTCGCAAAAGTGGGAATCGAATTCCATCCATTTGTCGATGCAGAATTTTAGAGACATTCATGGAGTCGTCGCCAAAAGGCATTTCACCGCACGTTAGAATGTACATTATAACTCCTAGTGCCCATATATCGGACTTTGCCGGGCTGTATGGCAGTGATTGCAGAATTTCAGGCGCCGCATAAGCCGCTGATCCACAGTATGTCTTGCTAAGTTCGTGCTCTCCAATTTTTCGGGCAAACCCAAAATCGCCGATTTTCACATGCATGTTAGAATCAAGTAGTATGTTTTCACATTTCAAATCTCTGTGTACCAGGCATTGCTTGTTGAGGTAGTCCAGTGCTTCTGTCATCTCTAGGATCCACTGCTTGGCCAATCTTTCTGGTAGTGCTGAACCAGCGCCTCGAATATATGTCAACATATCACCGTTCTCGGCCAACTCTTGGGTTATAAAGATTTTGTTATTTTCTTCAAAATAACCATACGTCAGTATAATACCTTCGTGTTTCAGGTTTGGCAAAATATCAAGTTCCCTTGGTAGGAAATTTTGAAGGAAGTCGCGCGGTGCTTTCCGACGATCAATAATCTTAACAGCAATCTTTCTCATTGTCTTCGTCTCGATTGCAAACTTCACTTTGGAATACGATCCGTAACCAAGGCTTTCTCCAACCATCAAGCCTCTACTCCTTAAAATGTCTCGATCTTTCGGGCACTCTCTAGTCGCTCTTGTTGTTTCTTGTTGCTGTACTTGTTCGTTCATATTGACGTTTGTGCCGTCGTGTTCCATATTATCTAGATGACAAGTATACAGTAAAGTGACTAAGATGTTGTCAGACGTCCCCAGTTTGTGTTGTATAGAACCACTGTCCTTTAGAACGTAGCGCATTGTGACGTAAATCTCTATTGAATGACGTCACCTCGCTTTGCTTGCGTGATTATGCGTTCGGCGTGGGTCAATGACCTCGCGCGTATTGTTCCACCGACGCGCGCAGCTACGGGTGATTGTTTTCTGCGGATTTGTTATCGTTATTTTATATTTTGTTTTCATCTGTACCGCAGTGTACAGTGTGTATCACAGAAATCATAACATAAGTTTGTGAAACCATAAACTGGCGGAGAAAGGGTTGGTTGGTTGGTAGGATCATCGGACAGTTCGTGAATATGTCTGTGACCAGGCCGTTCCAAAAGACGCTCACCGACGAAGAATCATTAAAGAAGAAAGGCTATATAGTCGGACCCGTTCTTGGCGAGGGGTCGTATGCAAAAGTTAAAAGTGCTTACAGCGAACAAAAGAAAGAACGTGTGGCCATCAAGATCATCAACCGAAAGAAGGCACCAAGGGATTTCCAGAAAAAATTCCTGCCGCGAGAACTTGAAATTGTGAAGGATATTAGCCATAAAAATATCATCCAAGTCTTTGATGTAATGGACTTGGGAGATCGAGTATACATCACCATGGAAATAGCGGGACATGGTGATCTATTGGATTATATCAAACTTCGCGGTGCAATCAAGGAAGAGACGGCGAATCAAATGTTTCTAGAATTGTGCGATGGCATTGAGTACTGTCACGAGAAGAACATCGTCCACAGGGACCTCAAATGCGAAAACATACTGCTGGACGTCAACAACCACATCAAAATCACCGACTTTGGATTTGCTCGACGCATCCATGACGGCGACATGAGTAAAACCTTTTGCGGCAGTGCCGCCTACGCCGCACCGGAAATCTTACAAGGTATTCCGTATGATGCTACGGGATACGACATCTGGAGTATGGGTGTGATACTGTATATCATGGTGTGTGGCTCAATGCCTTACGATGACACTAATGTCAAGAAAATGGTAAAAGATCAGATGGAGAAAGGACTTGGATTTTCACGCTCCAAGAAATTATCAACAGAATGCAAAGATCTCATCAAACACATGCTCAATGTTAACCCAGAAGAACGCGCAAAAATGAGTGAATTACGATGCAACTCTTGGATGTCCCGGATGAGCGCCAAAGTTAAGGAAATAACAGACGACAATCAAGACTAAATGGTTTATGTTTTTGAAATTTTCGATTTTGAGATTTAGTAATGTCTTATTTTCACTGCAGTTTGCAATAAATTGCAAATTACAACTTTTATATTGAGTATTGTATTATTGTTATCGTGTTCGCATACATGTGTTATACATAAAGTTATTTCATCTGGTGAAAAAATTCAAATTTGTTTCGTTTTCGAGTGAATTACGATGCAACTTTTGGATGTCTCGGATGAGCGCCAAAGTTAAGGAAATAACAGACGACAATCAGGACTAAATGGTTTGTGTTTTTGAAATTTTCGATTTTGAGATTTAGTAATGTCTTATTTTCACTGCAGTTTGCAATAAATTGCAAATTACAACTTTTATATTGAGTATTGTATTATTGTTATCGTGTTCGCATACATGTGTTATACATAAAGTTATTTCATCTGGTGAAAAAATTCAATTTTGTTTCGTTTTCATCCCACTTCCAAAGAGTCAATACAAGGAAAGAAATGTGGTAATCATTCACGTTCTGATCAGTTTTTGGTTAAGTTTATTTACTTTTGTTTTTCTTGACCATTCTCACAACAAGTGATTGACGCCAAAAAAATAAATCCATGTTGCCCGTAAGTCGAAGTTCTGTAAACTTTTAAAGGGCGATGGACGTCGCCCCGCGCATGCGAGATATGGGTCTCATATGAACTGAAGCAAGATAGCGATTGTTACTGTTGCGCGGACCAACGATTGCAAACTGAGACGTTATCAAGCTGTAACTAATTTCTTTGGTGATTAGAAAGTATCTAAGGATTCGTCGACGGCAATTAGTGCCCGTTGCGCCAAGATCAAAACTCGTACCTGTGATTTCATTAGAAGAGCGCAAATGTCCGTAACTCGAACAATTCAGCATCTCAAGGCGGTATCGTA